ACTACGTTCAAACAGCTTTGTGTGTTGTTCTCAGAGACTACCATAATTAACAGAAAGTCATTCATTCAACTTCTGTCACTTAAAAGCATCTTAAAGTTCACATAGCACATTCACAGGGCAGGTTGTGCCCTACTCTAAGGCAGTACTTCTCAAACCCATTTTTGCTGCGACCATGCCTGTGGTCAGAGCAGAACTAAAGACTGTAGTTACCATTTATCTTGACTAGTTAGCAAAGGATAATTTTTCCCATGTATTCTATTTATTTTGAAGATCTCTTACTGATGCTTTATTTCACATATGGATGTTTTGTCCAACTTTAACACAGCTATGTAACAATTTCCAATGGATTTCTCACTATAGTGTCATGTGACTTTAATGTAGTAATTTAACATCATTTCTTCTATGGAGAGAGAAAGGTAGGGGTGAGAGAGAGAGAGAGAGAACTCAGAATCATCTCTCTCAGTGACTGTGATGTGAAAAACAAAGGCTTACTATTTCATGCTCTTTCTCTGCTTGACTTGTAGACAAGACAAACTAGATCTTCCACACATGAAATTCCCTAACCACCAAACTGTTGCTTGCTTTCTTCACATAGTATGTATTAAAAAGTCTGCATTTCATTCTAAAGCAGAAGGAAAATACTGATTAAAAAACCTAATTTTTTTGCAAAATGGAATTACAGCTAATTGTTCAACTAAATAATGCTGATTTATCCATAAACGGTGATTCAACTATATAACTAACTTTGTTAATGATGAAGTATTAACACTGCAATCTTGATGAATAAAATAAGGCTTCAATAGCTACTTGATATCAAAATCCTGAATCAAAACTGTTCAACCATTTAAGTAAGAGGAAACAAGAAAGTTATTAGAAAGTCAAATCTTTTGAGTGGTGATATTTTTTACATATTCATACTATGCATATACAAATATCCAGCAATTTGAAACCAAATACTTTTTAGTCTGTGCTAGGGCCTTCACAGGCATGCGCAGGGCCTTCCGTCTCACATGTAGCAGGGTTGGTGCTCACTTGTCTTGCTGAGCCACAGGACCCAACAGTCTCACATATGGTACAAATGTACACAGCAAACCTCACAGCCTCTTAGTTGCACACATTCCTTCCAGTTTCTAAGTCCCACTGGCAATGGCACATTGTAAACATGTATGCGGACATTATATCTTAAGTAGCCTCTAAGCGATGAGAGAATAATCTGTTTTCTATACGCATAGGACTTCTCCTTTTGAGTGGAGATAGCCATACGCGAGGAACAAATTCCCACAGAGATAAAAAAAGCAAACTGCTTCCTAATGGGTTTTGTCATATTCAAGATAAAGCATGCTTTTTGTCCCCACGGAGGAAGGCTCAATCCTGCATATATGTTTGTTAGATTAACTCAGGCAGTGTAATCTCCCGATTTCCATGGAGGAATTAAAAAGTGAAGAATTAAAAGGTTAATTGCATCTGGGCTATACAACAAGGACCAGAATCTTAGCAAGGACCCTCTAGGATCACAAGTAAAATCAATGGTAGAATCTTATTCATGAAATGATCTCAGCCCATTAGAAAAGAAAACACTGAAAGCCGTGGGATTTTTCTCAGCTATTTACATACTAGAGCTAGTCAAATAGAATAATGAACATATACATATTAAAATTAGTAATTCCGATATCATCATTAAAGCTCCACTTGAAGACTAAAGGGACATTAAAAAGGTGACTTTGCCAATCACGTAACTCCATTTCTGTATTTTGTTCAAATGACATTCAGTGCACATAGATAAGGAAGTGCATCATTTTCATGCAAAAGTTATTTATTTACTTGCCAGGTTCTCCTACAAACATGAATGCACACACTTTATATATGGAAACAGGACAGAAATCCATCAGTGAGGTTTTTTTTGTTTTAGAGGGTTTTTTTTTAAACTTTTAATTATAAAAGCTTCTGTGTTTATCCAAAATAGCATTAGCGGAAAAAAACTGATTACATATCACAACTACAGTTAACTAAAGTCCAAGTCACATGTCACTTAGACTGAACCTGCTTCATCACAAAATGCGGTAGCAGTTGTGTCATGCACAAACCCATCTACTGTGAAGTTAATCTTACTGCACTGTTAAATCAAGAACATCCTATTCATCTGCATATCAAAAAAATATGCATGCACAGTGAGATACCTCGTGAAATACTCTTGTAGCTTTAGACCTAAAGCAACCTTGCTTAGGCAACAAGGCATCCACTACAATGAAGTGGAACTCCACAGAGAGCTGATGCTCATAAATAGCTGCCACGCTGCCTAACCGTTTCATATATTTTAAGCTTAACCAAGGTTCTGGTCTCACTAAGCAACACATTATTTTCTCTGTTTGCTGCAGAGGCTTCCAGAATTAGATGCTGAACACAATGGTATAATACTAAAGATTATTTTCCTAAGAGTAGATTCATAAGTTACATAATACATAACTATCGTAACTATCAAGCATTAACACTTTTGAACAAAGTCCAACATATATTCATGCCAGGTCCTTGACTATTCATTTTCTAATCAGTCATATAATGGGACATATTAGTTGTTCTGCAGCCTACCCATTGGTTGGAATGTTCACACGAAAATAGTCTACTAACGTAACCCAACTTTCATCTCACTAGGAGAATTTTACCCATTTAACTCATAAGAGTGAAGACAGCGTTTTTGTTGCATGCTTGAAAACATACCTTAGGAAAAAAGGTATCTGATTTGTTGTGTTCCATTTTTTTTTAAATCACAAAATAGTTAATTGAGACTACATTCTGATACTGTCAAAATGAAGTTCTCTAATAAGGTCATTCCAATGTTTCTTGATACTTACCTCCACTCCAGTTTTTCATTCTTGTGTTTTTTTTTGTTTTAAGTTTTCATGACAATTTAGGATGAAACTAAGTACAAGAACAGTGGAATATCATCAAGAGAGAAATCCTATTTTTCTGATCGATTCTACAAATTCTGCCTTTTGTATGACTTCCCACCTTGGGAAATTCTAGCTTTTTTTGTATTTTGCAATTAAAACCATACATGCTGATTGTGTATACAGCCTCATGCACAAAAAAAAAAAAAAAAAAGCAGAGTAGTGTGCATACCTCCTGCTGCAGGAGCTGCAGGTTTGGCAAAATGGCAGGCGTGGTGTGAACTTTTGCCGTCGCATTTCACAGTGCCTTTAACGATGATAACAAAAAATGTCTTTTAGACTGACATTCCATTAGCAAGATGTATTCAAACTTATCAATATTTTTATTTTGCTCCTTCCTCTTCCTTCTATTCCCGCAAATGTTTTTTCTCCTTCTCTGGGAAATATTGACAACAATCAAGCAGATAAATTCTCTGTATTAAATGATCTTATTTTCCTATTATCCTTACCAAACGTTGACCGACACCACCAGCACACAGAACCTGCACCAAATAAATATCTTAACATTTAGTAGAGAGGACTGCATTCAACACAAGTAATACTTGACTCAGGAACACTGGCAGCACTTGGAGACACTCTACAACTAAAGCACATTACAGAGCTAAAGTAGCAGCAGGGTAGCTCCTGCTATCACAGAAAGACCAATGAAGTCATCAGTAAAACACAGACAGCATGCACAACTCTCAAACTCCCTGCACTCTCACAAACGCAGTCCCTCAGAAGAGTCGCTACTACTGGAACGGATGCCTTCAATATCATAAGCCTATTTCTCCATTCAGTTTTCTTCTCCAATTTGGTTTATGTTACAATATCTACCGTGTGCAGAACAGCTCTTGCTACAAAAACACACACATTCTTTAAGCCCTGTCTCAGCTTTAAACGTCCAAACTTTTTATAAACACTATCTGAATGCTGTTTTCTCTCAATGCTGTAAACAACCACTAGTTTGCTCACCTAAAGATGGTCAGAGATGCTTCGCCAGATCTTCTGACTGAAGCAATTCAAATCAGCTTTCTGACATCACAGGAAGCAAACTCCCCACTGAACTTGAATCTCAATTTAGGAAAGTACATTCAGCAGGTAAGAGCATACGAAGACAGTTTACCAGTAGTATTCTTGGAAAAACAAGCTAAAACACTTGAAAGCTAGCAACAAGCAAATCCTCTGGAATATTTCAAGCATCAAGAAATTTAAAGGAAGAAAAAAATATTTTCCTTACACAGAACATCTAAATCCACTTGTGCAGAACAGAAAAATAAAAGACTAACATGGCACATTAGATATGCCTGTCTAAACAGTATGTTAGCCACAGGTTTGTAATGGTGGCTGAAATTAAATTATGAGTCACACCACATTTATCTAATAAATGAACCTAAACTGTTCTGAGTAGAGATTTATGGCATATAGGTACATTTTTTATTTTTAAATACTATCAATATACTCACACTAGCAAATGGTAGATAGAGCATCAATGCCCAGACAGCGTCTCCTGTTTTAATGAGTTTTTCCGTTTGTTTTTTTTGCCATTCCACATACAGTCTGAACTACAACTATTCTCTGAAACCACCCTAAGTTGTTGCTTCTTTATCATTTTGAGCAATGGCTTTCTACCGAAAACTTTACTCATGAAACAATATGCTTAAAAAGTTTTTTCACAAACAGGCAGCATAGGTATATATTATTTTTTGATTGGATAATCTTTCAAATTTATTACTTAGGGAAAAAAACCCCACAAATCTATAAGGTACAACTGGAGCCCTTAGTGTTATGTAGGTAAATCTTTAATTATGGAAGGATATCTACGCTACATAATAGACCAAGGCATTAGAAGTGAGTCCATAGTATAAAAAGGAATGATTGATCTTCATACTGAAGTGAATGTGAATACATATTAATTACCTGCAAATTATGGAGCATTTAAATGTTTGTAAATAGACTGCTTTATGTATTTTGATTTTTCAAGTACTTACTGAAATCCTCGAGACAGACACTGAGCACCATGTTTGAATACTGAAAGACCAGTGATAAGCTTTAATAAAAAAGGTACAATTGTACTAAAAGAGAAACTCCAAAGGTTTTATTAGGATTTTAACAGACATTGCAAAAAAAAAAAAATTGCATAATGACTGAAAACATATTTTAAACAAAGTAGCAATGTGGTATCAAGTAAAAGAAAGACTGGAACAACTGTCTATATATGCTGTAAGGAAGATGTACCAGGAAAGGGATATGATATTTTTAAAATTCAAGGGCAAACATGAACAAGAAGCCACACTTTGATAGGCTGACTACACACCACAAATGTTTTACAAACTGCATAGCAGTGTAAAAAATGGTGTTATCCTAATGATACTGTATTCCTGCATTTGGCGCAGTTTACAAGGCAGAGATTTTGTTTACAACACAGATATTTTAATAGCTCTGGATTCTCATAAAAAATAAACTAATTTAACAAAAAAGCCTGTATCTACATTTGAAAACAAAAGTGCATGTATTGAGAAATAGTGTTATCTCTGAAGAAGAACACTGAAGTACTTAAGTTCATTTTAATAGATCCAACAGATGATACTTTAGATGTAGATCTGCACTGTAAGATTCTTTCAACATCCGCTTCTATAACTGAGCACCCTCTCCTCCTAAGCAAAAGACACTTCTGCCTACCCTAAGATTATCAGGGTTCTAGGTAGTTACAAAGAATGCCAAGTACCAAACCCACCACATTCCAGATTTAAAAATAAAAAATAAAAATCAGTAACCCAAGACAGATGTTTTAAAGTAAATTTAGCCAAAGACTCAGCCATAAACTCTTCAACATTCAGGATCCTTCCAGTCAGATGACTACTTTTAAACACTGGAGAGCAGCAGCAAGAAGTTATTAGAGCTAAAAAGACAAGAACTGATGAAAGCCTGTCTCCTGCCTTGTACTGAAGAATTTGTGGGTAACAAGCTTTACAGTGTGTGTACTCAGAGAACAGGGTGGTTTCTTTATAAACCCACTTAAAACCCAGTTGGTGTGGTCAGTTGTACATGGATCCAGATTCTCCTTTCCACGTAACTGTGGCAACAGCTAAGAGTTACCACAAATAGCAATGACTTCCGTTGAGGGTTCACTCCCTTTCTCCCTCCAACCAAAAAAATGGAAGTGTGGAAAGAGGACAGAGTTTCAAAATCCAGGCAGAGTTTCTGTTTAAGCTCTTCAGTAATTTCAACTCATGGCACTAAAGAACGAGATTTAATTTCTTTCTGGGTACCCTTAGCACTCTGGAAAGAAAAAGGCAGTGAATGTTTAGCTGGACTGGACCCAGAATGGGAAATGCACAGATACCAAAGTTATGAACTGCAGCCAGACTAGCCATAAACAAGTGTCCAGTACAGAAATTACGAGCAATAAATTTAGTCATTTTTGTAAACATCTCCTCCTTACCAATCTCTTTATTTTTCCTATAATGGAAATATGCACTGTATTTCTTTGTTCCAAGCACTGGTCTGTTTCTGTTTTAGCTTTGTGGCACAGTTGCTAAGTGCAACAGGCTAGAGACACTAACATTAATATAAACAAGTTGGAAAGTCAGTTCAAGTTATTAGAGTTTTGCTATACCAGGGCATTTTTCATAGCATGTATACTCTCTTCACAAATGCTTTGTAAGATCTTTCATTATGGAAGACTGGAAGCAAATTGGAGCTGTTCATTTAACAGATGTGATTGAACATATATTTCTGATATGCCTTATGTAAATAATGAATCATGTCTCATCTTATGAAGATGATGCATTTAATATACGTATCAGTAATCTAAAATGCTCCTCAAAAAAGCAGCATTTTTATAGACAAAGTAACAGAAAGGAGACAATACATCTCACGATACCATGAAACAAGTAAAGCCCTTTCATTAGCTGCATTATAAATTCGTAACTGTTAATCACATACTTTGAATTTCGACTGCTCAAGCAATTTAACCCTCAGCCAACTGCAGAACAAGGAAAAAAGTTTATAAATCAGATGTCGTCGTAGGTGCGAGTGTAAAAACTACTTTTCCATGTTTTAGCTTTAAACGTTTTGCTCCCAAAAGTGAAGTAACTGTTACCCAGTTCAAAAGAAAAACAATCATTGTTGATAGGTCAAAAGCAAGTTGTACCAAAAATTAAGCTGCTGTAAATCAGAGTTCACTTAGATCGTTCCTAACACTTTTAAATGCTTATCCTAGACCGCCTGTTAACTAGGAAGAGCACTAGAACACTGATTTAATGAGAAAAGATGTGCTTAAAAGCTGAATGTTTGTCCGAGACATCTATTATAAAGCTTTGACTTTTTCCTTATCTTTCAAATATGTGGATGATAATTTGTTATTAAAAGGAAGATCAAATACAGAGCGCGCTATTTGGTCAAGATCTTGTCCCACTGCAATTCAGTGTTTCCTATATAAATGTGCATACCATTAGGAGGCCATTTTTGAAATGATATCAGTCAACAGAAACATGGGCACCAGTGAATCAGAAAACACCTTAGGGTTTTGTTTTTAAGTTATATAAGTTAGATAAAACTACCCTGTCCAGCAAGTTCCGAATTTTTCAGACTTAGTTAAGGCAACTTTCATTACTTTCCAGCTAAACGGTATTATAAAAAATAAATGTCACTTCAAACCTTATATACACAGTGACAGAGTAGATTTAGCTAGAAAGTATCTTTAGTACATTAATAAAGTGTCACATAGTATTACCGAGGTTATAATCAGGTGCTTGAGTGTATGTGCAACTGGAGTGGTTTCAATATTTAAAGTACAGGTTTCAAAACAGAGCGCAGTGAACGTCCTTCTTTAGTGAGTTCTCGTGTTACACACATACATGGCAGTGGAACAGCCTCCTCTCTTCTCTCTACAGCATTATAGCTACATTTCTTCAAATGGTCAGCCATGCTTACGATGTCTGCAAACTTCCACTCATTCACAGTACAGAAGGCTGTACTGAATCGCCAAACCTGGAAAACAAGTCATATTTAGGCTCAAACATTCCTAAACTCAGAGTAGGGAATTAAATATTTGCCATTACTTTCAGATACTGTTTTGGGTCTACTGGAACTCTTGCTAAAAATCAGAACGACAAGGAAACAAACAATGCTAATTTTTGAACAGTCAGTCCCAGGCTGATTCAGATTCCAAGCTGAAGGCAGGGCACTGTTGTCTACAACAGCGTCTACAAAGTAGACATGATCAGTAGTTAAATGAAAAAGTGCCACATGACCATAAAACACAGTGAAAGTCCATTTCTAAAGTGATCAATTTTTGCAGTTCTAAATGACTGCTGCAGATAACCCTGGCACTTCAGGGTGGGGGAGAGAGGGGGGCAGAAAATGGTGAAAACCATACTAAACGAAAGTCACTGAAAGATTTAAGAATTATTTACATACTTGATCAATGCATAGTATCATGGTAAGGGATATGATCTTAACAGATGGGCAAAAATTAAAACTCCTTTAAACAGTATAAAAGCAAAAAATGCAAACTTTGTAGGTAACTTTCCCGCTTTCAGGGAATATTAGCATTAAAGAAAATCATGAAGCATGTAATTGCTAGATAAACCTCCAATTTACCCAAGATTTAAAAATATTAATTTTACATCAAGTAAAAACTGGACAGAAACTACCTCCAATCCTACTTCTCGAAGCGTGGAGAAAACTGAATACACCAGGGAAGTAACAACTGAACAAATCCGCTAACAATTTTTGCTAACTGCTGTTCTGAGACGGCCTGCTTCTTGAAGTGATACCATATCTAAAACCAGCAGTATCAATGGTGATCAGGCAAAATAACAAGGCTCAGGGAAAGCGCGGAGACATAGCCAATTTAATAGCCTTTCCCTTTCACCTTTAAGGGAAAAAATAGCTTACCTTTTCTTTTATTTGCCACGAAGAACTTCCATCTGGGTACCTTCTCTTCTCCCAAAGTAGTATCACCATTCCACGTGCTTGAAGCAAGCTTCCACACACATCTCTCATTAAACGTGACACTCTTGAAAGCTGACATAAACTAAAGCCATCTAGAAAACTAGCAATATGCTGCAGAACCTCAAAAGGTAGACTACTCAGGTGGTCATTATGTAGTCCAATTAAGCAGCTTTTTGCTGGTTCTACTAATACTGTAGATATGCAAGGCTGAACTCCAAATGACCGTAAGTGGCGGTCATGAATAATTTTTGCCCCTTGTGTTGAAGGGCAAAACCGACGTTGAGAATATGTACAGCCATAATATGCCAATGGACACCTTTGCTCCATCCAGCCATTAAGGCCAGCATGAATGTCACCATGCACGTTCTTAAAGTGTGAAGAAAATTCATTCCTCCTAAACAACTGTCCACAAACAAATGTAAACATTGAACGCTGTTTTGTTTGGTATCTAGCCACGTATTCCAATACCAAATCCAGTCCAAGGGTCTGGAATGGACTTGGATTTGAGAGCTGCGGGTTGGCATGATCACATGCAGAAGCTGAAGCTATTTCTCCCACCATTGTATTTGTGGCCAATATAGCAGATGGGAGAGAAAATGTTTGGGTCCCAAAGTCAACGTGATACACATCAACAGTGCGACTTTCTGATATCCCCCTACCTCCAGGAGAGTCTCCTAGACAAAACAGCAGAGCTGCTGTGATTAGATCAATCCCCTGCAGACCCATGGGATCTTCTGTTATCTCCAAATCTGATGTATCAACAGCTTTGTCTTCCTTTGGTGTGGACCAATAGTGATTAACAAGGAATTTGTATGATCGATGCCGTAAAAGTGAAAAGGCATCTACGTTTCTCAATCTTTCTTGTTCCACCTGTCTCTCTAACATTTCTTCTTCATTAGCATTATGTGGTAGTACATGATTAACACTGCCATTAACTAAGTGATCAGCTGGTATTACTTCTCTAAGTTGTGTTGTTGCAGGGAAGGAACTGCAAGGCTGTAACACTTCATCCTCAGGAGATGCAGTATATTCACCGTTTGCTAGACTGGATGGTTCTGAATTAGACACACTAAGACCTTCATTCTGGTCCAACACCTTTGAACTTTCATTTTCTACATGAAAGCCATTACACAAAAGTGAGGAATTACTGAGGTTTACATTTAAGTCATGTTTTTGAATTATGTCATAACAAATATCACTGGAACCATTTTGCTCCATTTGCGAATTTTGACTCAGGCTATCAAAGTTAATTCCCCCAACGGCTCCTATGTTATCTTCATCTGCATACTCATGGTCAGACTTTTCATCCTGTACAATTCCATTAGAAGCTTGTTCTTTAATCTCTGTGTCTTCCCTCCTTTCATGTGGTGAAATACAGAGCCTTGAACTTAACATACTGATGTCCCTTGTAGCAGTGTTCAGGATATCCAGAGCAGCAGCTAAACTCCTTGTTGTTTCTACAGTAGCTTGATAAAGTGCACCATAGGAATCTTCATCTACAGGCATCAAACCATTTGAGCGCACTGCATCTGGGGCACTTGATTTGACAGAGGTTTGCTCTCTGGTTTCTGATATTTGATCAGCTGCTTTTGACATCATAGTTGCTACTTTAAGTGATTCTAGTAACATGCGCTGGTCTTGAAGGGCTAAAGCCATATCTAGCTGCTCCACTTCATCAACATCTTTACTCAGATTTTCGTAAGATTTTCGGTCTGCGTAACTGACTGGCCATCTATTCCACTCCATGGTGCAACATACCACACTTGCAGGACAAACTTCTAGATGATCAGCAATTTTGTTTCGGGCTACTATGAAGGGACATCCAAAGCCGCTATTCAAACAAGGCACTCTTTCAAGTGGACATAAAATACGATGTTCCTCAGCTTTACATGAATGAAAAACTGCTCCACAAACCCACGGGCAGCCGATCAAATCACAGGAAATGCCAGGCTCTGGTCTGGTCATACAGCGACGACTGACACAGTTTACACAGTGTGAATGCTGCTGATTTTCCTCCATGACTGTAAATCCAATTCTGAGTGAAGAGAAAGAAGACAGAAAAGATAGTAATTAATGATATTAAGTTAATATTCTAACAGTTATTTGCAGTTTTGCATTCTCTGTATCAATGGAGAGATACATGTTAACATAACGTGAACTGATCAGTATCCCTTTTAAGAGAACAAGCATGTGACGTTTTATCTTAAAAAACGTTGCTTAAAAGTTCCACTGAAGATTAAGGATACACATTTATACACGAGTTCAAAACATATTCCCCACATTTATATTCACTAGATATGAAATATGTAACTCCAAAACGTTGTACAGTCCTTCCCTCTGAAGCAGCTCTTGTGCCCCTTCCCATTTAAAATAGATATTTCAACTAAAAATGAAGCGTTGTCATTGACTATCTTCTATCACTTAAAATCCTAGACCACATGACTCCACAGAGGAAGGAGAAGAAACAGAGGAACCCAGATTCATTCATCTGTTTACACCTCCTGTTCTCCAAGAGGCATCCTGTTGCCTAGGCTGCTTGCTACCACCTATGCTTCCTAGTCCCTCTTCATGCAGTTCCATCTAAGGCAATCTGCAACCTTCAGCGTTCATCTCTAAGTCTCCTGTTTTGTGCCATCCCCCCCGCTACACACACTGCTGCTTAGTCAGCAGTCCCTTACAACAGCTTTTCACTTTTTTTTCCCCCTAGTCTACAGCCTGTAGCTCTGCTTTTATTTTTATAGTAGCTGTTGCATAAAGGTAGCATTTAAAAAAAATTTTTATTTCACCAAAAACTTTTACATAGAACTCCAGTGCCCAACATGGCTCTATGTATACCTCCAGTTCTAGACACAAAAAGGTACTACTCCCCCCTGCCACACACACCTTAATACCCTCCTTAATTACAATAGTGTAATAGTTCAAAGTGTAAGGGTAACATGGCAACTTACATAACCAGGCTAAACAGTAATAAAGAGCCAGTTAAATATCCATGAGTAATCTATTAAAACACATACTGACACAAAAAAAAAATAAAAATCAAAGTCTTTGTTGTGCTATGAAGAAAAGAGTAAAATGTGTGTCTTTGTACTATACTTCCAAAAGCTCTTAGGTTCTTTACTAGCTTGAGCACAGGCCCATGCAAGTGTTCAAGCCCTCCTCTATGCTCTATTATAAAGCTTTCAGAAGTTAAACTGCTAGGGATTACAGTTCAGAGGTACCAGTGAATGAATTACACTGAGGTTGAGCTCAAAATACTTTGTTAAAATACACTGCTCAGTTTCTTCTTCTCCTTATCTGCCACCTTCCAAAATTATTTTTCTTGAAAAATACTTGCAGAATTTAAGATTAATAGAACAGAAATGGTTTCTTATTGTATTCTACTGTCCAGCAAGTATTCTCATGCAGTGTCTTCCGTCCAAACACTGCAGTTCTAATGAACTGGAACTTCTTAAATTAAAAATATTCAAAACTGACTGTAAAAATAAAACTGATTGGTATCACTCCTTTGTTCAAACTGAAAGTAAGAGAAAACAAAATAGCATTTCAGACACTTGACTTCAGATTATTTACAGCATTGAAATAAATTTCTATGTGACACTTACCTCAGATGTATTCTTTTAATGTTTTGAAATTCATGCCAACTCTAACTAGCAATCAGACCTCATCCCTCCATCCCTTGTAACATGGATAGCTCAAATGTTTTAGCCACCCACTCTTCTAACACTTCTGGCAAAGAAGCTTATGTGCTACAATTAGCAGGCAAAACACAGCTGAATTTATATAGTGAATAACAAATAACTTTACCCCTCACACACTGTCAAGTGTGCAATCACTGAACTCCGTGACTGATTTGCTAAAGGTTTTCGCAAACCTTTCTGGCACACAACCTGCTTTTACCTTACGTATTAAGTCAGAAAGCACCTACAGCCAAGAGTTGAAACATGTTCCATGAAGAATCAGGAAGGGAATATTACTGAACTTTTGTGGGAAAGCAATCTTATTCCTAGTTCCTCTACCAAACCCCTCTCTTTAAGCAATTCCTGCCAAATACAAACACATCTGCATTAGTAAACCTGTTTTCTTTTATGAAGAGAACTTTCACTATTATAAAATAATACCCTTACTTTTGCAATAAGTTACTTCATATTAGAGATATTCTTTCATCATATAAATTTTTTTAATATATCACCATCTCCCACCTATGTTCTCCTACAGCCTACATTCAACTTTTAACATTGTATAAAGAACCCCACAAAGGAAGGGTCTTGAAGACTGCCAGTCATATTTACAGTTTAGCTGCAAGCTCAATAGATATTTTTACATGGTTATTTTTCACATCTTTGCTTTTTAACTAGGTATTCATTATACACAAGATCCAGTCATCAAGACTGCTTTCACTAGGTAAGTAATGGGATATATATATATTGCTGACATAGTTGGGGTCCTACTGAACGAGAGCTGGGAAACAGTACTGTTCAGGGAACAGCAGCATAAGTAGCAGTAAGCGTAAGTAGCATTCCCAGTAGCAGTAACTGGGAATGAGGTACTTTCCACTCTGCTTTCATGATGCTTTGATGGGTAGGACCGCCCTGGAAAAATGGGTTTTGTTAAAACTGCTGTGAAACTGACTGCACAATATAGCCACAGTAAGAAAGTTTTAAACACTCATTCTAAGTATGAGATACTTAACAACAAGAGATACTTACAACTCAAACTCACCGACGATCCCAAGAAACTCTAACTAAATTCAAAAGCTTCCTTTCTTTTTGGAGATATTCCAATACAACCCACAACTGTTTATCTAGCAGGCATGAAGGGTCAAAAGGAAAAAGAGAAAAAAAAAAAAGTCAAACACCCTACTTTTCCTCAACCACTGAACATTGCATCAATACTGAAACTAAACTCTAGTTTTCCTGGAGTCAACAAACGAGCAGAAATCAGAAGGAAAGCTCACAGATTATGTGTGTATTTTAAGACACTTGACACACAAAATGGAGATACATTAAGTTCTGAAAGACGATTGCTAGTTGCTAACTCACCAACCCCGACAGGCCCCAGCCCTCACTCCATAAATCTAAAGAGTCCTGCTCCCACAAAACAAGATGACAAGTAGTCCTGTAGCAGCAAAGCTTAATTTAATCAGTTGACTTGCAAAAAAAACCCATGCACATTGCTCACTTCAGGATGGCCAGATATGAGCCATTTGCAGACCAGAAGGCAGGTTTGTTAACTAGAGCACACTGCTGTGTTAGCTCCTAGGCCAAAGTTGGCTCACTTTCAGACAGCTCAGAACAGTCAAAGCGAGCTCATGTTTGCCTGCACCATTTGTGTAGACATACCCTAAATTAGTCAACCATCATTAAATACTGTCTTTAAATAGCCTATGTGAGCTTACACAGAAGAACATTCTATTAAGACAGTAAAACATCCTCCTCCCTAGCATACTATCTTGGTCTTTACAAGTCAGATTGTGAAACCTGAGTTCTGTGACTATACCATCTTTTTATCAAGCTCCAAGACTCCTTTCAGGCATTAGCTAACGTTCACCAAAACTTAATGATCTAACATGCACAAATGCAAGTTTGAAGTGCATAGGAAAGAGAATCTGGTGCAAACATCAAATATCACTGATAGACGGTGTACAAAGGCCAGATCAGACACTAAAAATACCATGTTCTGGTTAGGTAGATGCTAATTTAGTCCTGTAACAGATGCTTGTGATTGTTTTTACAAAGAAGCAGTTATGCATATGATCAGTTAAATAGCTGAAGTAACCTATTTCCTCAGTTTCCCTAAATTAGAATGTTATAGATCACTGAAGTTTGATACTACTTATTATTTCTCTTAAAATTTGAATCCACTGGCACCTTAAATTTATAATTTAAAATCTCCTTGGACATCAGTAGAACATCAACATGACATTCACCAAAATTCTGTGTGGTCCTCAGGCCTTAATGTCATAGGACTTGCTGTAGAATTCCAACTTAGTTGGAATGTCACTTTTTATTTATAGCTTACTACAAAGCCCTTTTATGCATTTTAAATGTCCTTTTCACACATTTCTTCTTTTAGTGCCTGGCCTTCAAACCCCACAACTATTTTGTTGAGTCATGAGTTCCTGGATTGCTTAACTAGATAAGGCTTTTGATAAATTTTGTGATAAGTGAATTGTAAGTCCAAATACAAAAGTTAACTAAACATCCCTATCAAACAGGCACAAGGTGAAACAATAGGATAATATTTCTAAAATTAGAATATTCAATCAGGTAATGGTCACTACTCATTCAATTCTGTAAATCAGGTATTCTTGTGAACCACAGCTTAGCATCTTTTGGATTCACAGACTAAAAGCATCCACATATGAATCATTTTTCTTTGAAGCAAAACAATTAACGTATTCCTAATATCACACTGAGAACTAGAAGGAGAACCCTCTTCCCAAACATTGTCGTGAAAAAAAGAACAACAACAACACTGGGCAAAGCAGAGCTAAAGACAATTCTTGGTGCAGGTAACAACATCTAAACTTGTACTTTGAGTTACTCTGAGATACAAAATTGAAAAAGCTAGGATACATGGCTGTCGTTGCAAACTGAGCAAAAGAAAAATATCATTTGTTAAAACGGGCACTGAAGAGATTTATAGTGTTTATATCCTATTGTGTTCCTTACCAAAATTTGGAAAGAAGTTAGAAAGTCAAATCCGTGACTACAGCAAGAAAGAACAGCTGTCCTTTTCTGATAGCCTAATGTCAGCAACTAGGTTGAGTTCATATGAGATGCTTAAGTATGCACACTTGACTGTTACTAGCAGAGAAACCTAAAAATACATCTAGTTCCAGTGAGGTGACCACTGCTCTCAGAATTTGTGTGATCACTTGATGTTATTGTACATACTATACAGTCAGCTGACCAAATCGGCCAGAACATGCTTTGAAAATCTGTCATAATTAAAAGGATTAAAATTCCAGCTGCTACAGCCACATGATTTTCAGTTGCTGTTGTAACATAAATATTAAAATAGCATAATAAGGGTTTCAAACAGTCACTACACAATACTTCAGCTGCAAGTGGGAGCTCTCACCGTCTCCTCCACTGCAAAGTATCAGATGCTGTACTTAGTATTATCAAACACAAAGTCTGCCTACTTTCCCCTGCGTGAACCCCTTTGTACCGGTTAAGATATGAAACCGCAACGACTATTTCAAACCTATAAAAGCTCAACTGTCTTTGAGACACTTCCCTCTATCATATCTTATTAAATTGGCCAACAGTTTCTTAAATTACTGGTTCAAGGGAGCAGATGAACAGAGAGGCATAAGCAGTGCTACAGGTTAAACTCCCACAGGCATACGAAACCACCCACAAGCAGTCAGATATATGCAAAACATTCTTTTAAAAAAAGTTTTGGAGGATGCAACATAAACAGAAGAACACAATGCCATACTCCTGAACCTCCCACTTTTTCCAACTATATCCAGCTATGTGGATAAAAGGTCTATATCTGTGGCCAACTAGTCTCATAATATGTGGAAGCTATGCATTGTAGAGAGCAAAGGGATAAGATTTAAGTGACGTTTGTATATGAAAATAAATAAATAAAAATAAATAAAAACAACATGATTCACAGAATTTCACAAGTTAAAACAGGAAGAGGTATGAAAAAAAGTTTCAGAATACTTTGCCAAAATAGAATCGGTAGTATTACAGTTGAACAAGCTATTTTATTTCTCTATAGCCTACCACACGTGGGAGAATAACCATCATTCACCTTGACTACTAGGTCTACCAGATGCATTAAGCAAGCTTTGCTGTCTTCCAGGAAGTAAGCTTTCTTGTCTTCTCATCCCTGTCTTGTACAAAAAGTATAACAACTTTCATATCTACCAAACACCTCAATCTGTTACTACAATACCATGGCCACAAACTTTCTAGCGTGTATGTTACACTCACTTTTTGACTTTTTTTTGTTTCATCAGTTTTCAGATGACAGATGGATTCCCTGGAGTTTCAGTAAAAACTTCTGACAGTTTCAACCTGATGAATGACAAGTGCCGCCACTAGTTGCCATCCCTGCTGGAGGTGAGCAATAAAAGGCAGATTTAACTCTACTACTCAAGACTCCACAATGACTAAGGTTAAATACGCCATTCTGAGGCTTCTCCAAAGCCAGCGCAGCCTCTGCCCTCACATTAGGGAGCTGGCTACCTCAAGCCTCACTTAAATGTCTCTCCATAGGGTTGGGACAGTAGGAAGCAGGGACCTACAACAAAGCTAATCTAATGCTACACAAACTTCCAACTACTATTTAAAATGGTAAATTCAGAAGAACAGCAAACAACATTATAAATTATTAGCTATTAAAATGAAACAAGAGGTGACAAACGTAAAAGGTACATGCCTCAGTAGCACAGGCTGGCTGTCTTTTTATGTATATATATATATGCTTATATATATATATATTTTTTTTTTTTTTTTACAGTTTTTCTGATTTCTGAAAAGAAGCCCTGTATTTATCCAAATTAGTTCATATCAGACATGCTTTTAGGAAGTAGAGTCTTTTCAGGTGCCACACTTCCAACTTCAACCTTAGAGGATACAAGGCACCTTTTTTCTCTCAGAGATTATCAGGACAGCCCTGGCTTCCATTATAGCTAGGCAGATTGCAGTTGTTCAAAACAGCATTCAAAATATTTGGATAAATCATCATTTATTGCATTCTTAAACAGCGTAAACTGATCTATTACAAAGAGGAGAGCACCTTCCCTGGCTGGTACTGAGTGCAGATGTGGGACACACTAAAGTTTTTTTGTTGCTTTATTTTGTTTTTAAATCACTGAATTCATAAGAAGGAGCTTCAAATACTAAAGCCCAAACTACTACACAAGCACTATGTTACTTTCACCATTATCATCATAGGCTATGACAATTTCTTGACATTACACACTAGAAGCAAAGAGAGTTCACGCTAAAAAACAAAGCTTCTTATTGCAAGAAGAGATACAGGAGGATACATATTCGTGCAAGATTCTAGTTTTATCAGTGATCTACCATCTAATGAATGATCAAAGCATTGACATGTACTGACTGCTTTTTGAAGCATCATTTAAGAAGTTGACCATCTGACTCAAAAAACAGAAACCTCTCACTCCAGCAAAAATAATGATCGGTGGAATTATAAAAATGTAACCTCTGTGATGTTAACCCTAAGAAGAAAAGCTTTTTCAAATCTTACCCCTCACCTCACCCCAAATTTTCTAGTTATAGAAAGTGATTTGTATCTTGTAGTCTTTTCAGTAACCCTTTAGAAGCTCCTTTTTCCCCGAGGGCTCAACCCCTTCCTCCCATTCAGGGAATTTAGTTAGATATTTCCTCTCAAATGATTTCAGGCATAAAATAGAATTTAAGGGAAAATAAAACACTGTTATGACTACAGTGGACCTCCAATGATGCCCCATCTGCCTGGCTTGTTGTTTTAGAACGCAAGCTCTGATGGAATGAGAGAATACTTCTCTCTATCACTATCAAACCCTATGAACATTAAAAATCAAAAAGCTTTTCCTTAGAGTACTTTTGTGACAGATCTGCCATGCATTCTTGACTTCTTGACGCGTTCCCCAAATAAGGCCAAAAGCTTCAACGTGCCTTTAGCCACACACTACCACAGGACAACCACACCAAGAACAGCTACGCTTGGTGCATGGCTCAGCCACAAAAGCACTCTACCTGTTGAGATGATGACAGGACAGAATCAGCTAGACAGCCAGCAGATTTCATGGGTAAAGCACTTCTGAACTTGAATTCAGTGCGACTCCTTGATTGTTGCAGACTCTGCAAGAAATGAGACCAGAAATACAGTTTCATTTCAGGTGTACAGATTGCTTCCCATATGCACAATCCTTTGAAAGAGTCACAACCTTACACTATCGGGAGCTACAAATGGTTAAACATTTTGCTTTTTTTTTTTAAATGGAAAACTAAACAAATTTTTAATAGACTTTGCAACCACAATGTAAGTTCTGTCATTCTAGTTTATTGCCTGTTAGTCAGACGAGACGGTTAGTCATTACTTTAAGGCTAAAGAGACTATCAAAAATTATTTACTATGGCCTGTTTCACTTAATTCTTCAGTGTGGTCCACCAGCAACCATTTAAGAAAAGATGCATCAGGATTCAGGACTGAATTCAAGACTGCATCAGCTGCAAAATTTTAAAAAGTTTCACAATTTAATTATTTTATAAACTGCATTTCATCTTGGACAAAATTTATCCATCTTCAACTCCGAGACAGGAGAACTGATAAATAGTTGCTGAATAGTAGAAGGGTCTTCAGGGTAACAAGTATCTTCTTCTTCCATGTGTTCATACCCATATATTATTATTAGAAGTTAACAGAGATGGACTAGAGGTGAAATACCCACAGAAAAGTAACATCCTTATCCCCAGACATCAGTTCTCAAGTATTCTAGAAATAAGTAAAAATGAAAGCATTCCAAAATTTCTCAAAAATCAGAAGCAAAAGTATTGCAAAAAGTAATGCATTTATATTACAGTAGGCAGATTTCACCACCCAAAAGAAGTCAAAAATAAATCCTTTGTCTTCATAATATTTTAATTCATACATGTTGCAGCAGAATTCCTGACCTCTGTATTTATAGAGATCAGGACATAACTCTTGTTAATGCACTGTTTCAGGTCTTACTGCACAAGTTTAACCAGTTCCCATAGCAAAATAAGAAAATAAATTTAAAGTAAATGGAACATGAGCACAGCTGCTCTCCAGGATCGTAGGCTGAAATGCAGACCTAACACACTGTACATAGCAGGGTTTGTTGTTAGTTTTATTTAAAATATACCCTTGTTAGTAGCATAAGGCCTGATATGCCAAAAGTAGTTGGAACATAGGAATTCTAACAGGATTCCACTGCATCAGATATAATACTAAAGTTGAAAAGGTTTTGTCCTAAAATAGTTTGTAACTTAAAAGTACAATAGAAAGGGCAAAAGAACAAGAACAGAGATGGTATTCAGAACTTCAACCTTTTCTGTTTTCAGGTATTTAACTTTCATATCAAAAACAGATAAACTTTTTGCAGCATCTGTTAGGATTTTTTGCCCTTCCAAACTACTTAGTTTTAAAAGCAATGGAAATAATACTTTTTAGATTTGTTTTAATTGGATATTTTGTACTATTTTATAAAAAAACCTATCCCAAATAGTTGATAACAGGAAGCTGGGAACATATCTCATAATGAGCTGATAACTTTCAAAGTACCAGCTCTTCTACTTGAATGAAAAAGTGGTGGTGGTGGGGGGGGGGTTCATTAAAAGTTTTTGCAGTGGTTTAGGGCATAAAATGAGTCATCAATTTCTGATCTCTACAGAAATATCTTCATTAAAAGTTTTTGCAGTGGTTTAGGGCATAAAATGAGTCATCAATTTCTGATCTCTAATATAACATAGACTGTGTTTTCCAAATGTCAACAGGCACGAAACTAATATATATTTTTTAAGACTCCAGCTGAACTTCCCCATCCAAATACACTCCATAGCTGGTGATAATAGTGACTCAGCTAAAATAAGTTTGTGTGTGTGTGCTTCTTCATAGTTGTAATGCTCTTACAAAAAAAGATCTTATTTGCTAAGAACCTATCACACTCCAACCAATTTCTTTCTTCCACAGGACTCCTGGAAAACTACGGTTTCTACTGGAAATGCTTCTAAATGGACAGATATGAAGTTTAACCTTAAAACAAGCAAACAAAAAACCCCACCATCCACCTTCAGGCATCTATATAAAACGTCTGAACCAGGTATCAGTATTCGGTGGAAAGCATGAACCATTGACTTAAGCTTTATATCAAGAGTTGTAATTGTGCCAATTAGAATTTTACCCCATTGTTTCTCTCTCATGTGCTCACGCCTTAAGTTAAAACCTATCAGGCTTTCAGCATGATTTCACATTAAGAACTTAGATCAGTTTTTGGCATTTGGTAAACAGCAGTGCAGTCTCTCCAATCAGATGTTCTACAGGTCCTAAGGATTTGCAGGGCATTTTACTGAGATTCAAGTAGTGTTAACAGATCACAATAAAATAAAAGACATACCAAGTGTCACAGCAGTATGTATTGCAAGGACTTCCTTCAAAAACTGTTCAAAACAGTATCCTGCAAAGTAAGGCAAAGTTTAGAGCTCCCCTGCAATTTGAATTATTTTGGCCTGTTTTAGACCAGTTTAAACTACATAATTTTTCAGTCTTCTTCCTTTATCCAATGCAGACACTAGATTGTGCTCAGAGACATAAGCAAGTTTACATATTATTTCTTTTTAACCCTGAACAATGTAACTATTTATTTGTGCTCTGTTCAGGAATATATTCATCATACAATCTAGGGGACTCAGCAACAAAAACTCAAGTTATCTTTATTCCTACTGTGCAGAACATGACATTGAAAGTTGCTTGTCACTAATATACTGACCACTAATGAGAGCCTGATTCTCTGCTCCTGTCTCTATACCACTGGATCTCATTGCCAGGGGCAAGTAGCATCTGCTTCACTTGAGACACAGCTCACAAAATAAATAGGTTTACCAATTTGCAGGTAATTTAATTTTTTTATATTAAGTTTAGGTTAATCTGACTGAATACAAAAGCATACGTTTGTTACGAAGGTGACATCCACAGCTCCTTCAAGGACTTAAGTGAAGACTAACAGCAATATGATTTCTTTTTCACAGAGGTACAGCAGGAAGCCCTTTAGTACCTAGGTCAAAAACCAGCTTTTCCAAAAACTTGCAGAAACATTGCTGGAAAGTTTCCAACCAGGCATTGCTGGATAAACTCAGCACTTCTTTTGCCCATTAAACTTCTAACATCAAAGTAGGAGGCAAGGAAAATAAAGAAAAATTAAGAAGTTAATTGATTAAAAGAACAACTTAGTCCCTAAGAGAAAGGGCAACCAAAAGGCACTGCTTTTGCCCCTTCTGCCAGGACTCTCTCCTGTTCTCTGAACACTTTCCAACTTGTGAAAAGACTAAGATAGAGACCCCCACAAAAAGACTCAGCTTGCTACATAACCCCTAGTCTATCTCTCCTCTGGATGAAACTGGGTTGCTAAAAAAAAAAAAAAAAAAAAAAATTGCAGAAATATTTAGGTGCATATACAGTGGAAAGCACATTAAGGTTCCCAATGTACTTTCCAGTCTTCTAGGTATTTATTTTCTAGGTATTTAACTTGCCTACCAGTTGAAGTTCTTTTAATATTTTTGTACTTTTGGGAGAGGTGAAAAACCATAAATAAGCATCACTAACATCCTCACCATCATGCATCACTGCAGAAGCGCAAACCCTAACCCTCCAAATCATGGCACAAGCTAAAGTTGTATGACAACAGAAGACAGCAGCTGTCCAGGGAAAGGACTTACCCATCTGTGCTATACACTGATTCCAAAGAAAGCAGAGAGACTTCTCTTGTGCAGAGCGCTAGCACAAGCAAGGTGATGTTGCAGCAGCATGGGCCCAGCTTTAGATTAGTACGCTAACACACGCTTATTTTGGCACACTAACAATAAAATCAGCAAAAGGGAAACGAGGATTATGAAAAGCTCCTCAGCCAAATCTCAGTAGAACTTTATGGAACAAAAGCAAAACGTCTCTCCAGTCCATGCGTTTTCTCCTTAGAGAATTCAAAAGATCTGCTGCAAACAATAGTGGCATTAGGAATTTTGAAAGCGAGCCTACATGACTGTTTTAAGCTGCATGCCCTTCAAAGAAGTTACTGCCATCTCACAATACACTTCTGACCACTGATCTTTAGGGTTACAGGAGTACAGCTACACAACCTTCCTCACCACTGTAAAGGAGAAAGAGCTTGCAGCGCACACCTACAACCCCTCTAAAAAGGGATTAAGAGAGAGACAAAAAACCCGAGAGAACACATCCTCTCGCATAATCTGAGCGCAGCTACTCGAAAGACGCAAACACAGAGGATTAGAGAAAGATTTCAGCAACACCCCGGCATTATCTGCCCTCTTCCCCTCTCCTTCCTCCCAGGAAGGAGCCTCTCTGGCTTCAGTGCCGACAGCACC